AGCCCTGCCGGGCACAAGCTGCCTCGACCTCACAGAAATCCCCAAGCGCTTTTCCGCCCGCTCAGGGTGACACACAGCGCGCTGCGCCCTGCCACGGTGCCGCTTCTGATGGGCCGCGTGAGCATCTCACCAGAGACTCAGCAAAAGTGAGCTCGGGTTGTCGCACAAGCCCAGCCAACGAGTACCAGCTTGTGCCAGTGGTGGTCTTGGACCGTCAGGAGGTGCCAAGGAGGATGGCGAGCATGAAGCTCAACAAGAAGGCTGATGTTCAACCCACCTGCCAGCAGCCAGAATCTCCCGTGGGCCGCCCAGGAATCTTGGAGAGTAAATATAAAAGGACCAAGCCTTTCCAAGGCTCTGGAGAGGGCAGCACCTGCAGGAAAGCCTGTATCAGTGGCTTCAGCGCCAGCCGCTGGGGGAGGCACACGAGGCTCCGCCCAAAAAGGCTCAAAAACAAGAGGCAGCAGCAGCCTAACAACTCCTTCCTCAGACCACAGGGGAGGCAAAAACGGGCGCAGAAGGGTGTTCTGGAGATGTCTGTAGATGTAAGAGATAATGACTGTTCACTCCTCAATAGCTCGTATTCCTGGGCCAGAGTTCGAGCATCCCTGTCCTTCCATAAGAAGAAGAGAGTGGCCACTGAGAACAGTTTCTGCAGCAGCATCCTCTGTACCCCGGCAGGGAAATCCCAGCTGTCAGGGTACCAAGCCAGCCTGTCGGCTGGGAGGGCTCAGGGCTGCTCCTGGTCCGCCTCCTCCATTATCCTGCTGGCTCCCAGGGATTCCTCTGTCCTGGAGCTGATGCTTACAGACGCAGAGAAGGTGTTTGGGGAATGCCACCAGGAAGGGCCTGTTGCTTTTGAGGAATGCATTCCTTTAGATAAGATGAAAGATTGCAAGAAAATTGGAGAGGGGGTGTTTGGAGAGGTGTTCCAGATCAACAGTGAGAGAGGGCCCGTGGCCCTAAAAATAATTCCCATTGAAGGGACTGAGAAAGTAAATGGTGAAGCTCAAAAGAGCTTTGGGGAGATTCTGCCTGAGGTAATAATTTCAAAAGAACTCAGTCTTCTGTCTGAGGAATCTGTGAATAGGACTGTTGGGTTCATCAGCCTGTACTCTGTGCACTGTGTCCAAGGGGCCTATCCCAAGTATCTCCTGGAAGCCTGGGACAAATACCACAAAGAAACGGGATCAGAAAATGACCGGCCAGACCTTTTTGGGGACGAGCAGCTCTTCATGGTTCTGGAGTTTGAATTTGGAGGCAGTGACTTGGAGCACAAGAGGTGCAGTTTCTCCTCAGTGGAATCAGCAAAAAGCATTTTGCACCAGGTCACTGCCTCCCTGGCCGTGGCAGAGCAGGAGCTGCACTTCGAGCACAGGGACCTGCACTGGGGGAACGTGCTGGTCAAAAAAACAGATGCAAAGGAACTTCATTATGTGCTGAATGGGGCAACACACACCATCCCCACAGCAGGGATTCACGTCAACATCATCGACTACACCCTGTCCCGGCTGGAGAAGGATGGGCTGACCGTGTTCTGTGACCTCTCCACGGATGAGGAGCTGTTCCAAGGCACAGGGGACTACCAGTTTGACATCTACAGGCAGATGAAAGCGGAGAATTCCAACGTCTGGACTGACTATCACCCTCACAGCAACGTCCTCTGGCTGCACTACCTGGCAGATAAACTTTTGAATGACATGAGGTACAAGAGAAAGGCAACAACTCCTGCCCTGAGGAAAACAAAGATGCAGCTCACCAAGTTCCACAAGGAGGTGCTGACCTTTGAGTCTGCCCACGATGTTTTACTCAACAGCAGCCTTTTCCAGTGACCAAGGACTAAGTCACTGATTCTGCCTTTCTCCTCTGCTTTTTTTTGGATACATGATCTTTTTACATGTTGGCACAATGAAGTGTTATGATTCCCAGTGTGAATAATACACTATAAAAAATGTCTAAAAAAATCCCCCCAAAAAAGTCTTCTGCTCTAAGATGTTTCCATATCTACTGTTTTTGAAGGGTGGTGGAGGGGAGACAACCCTTCCTGTTGACTTGTGTCAGCTTTTGTCAAGTGGACTTTTGAGAAAGGTTTGAATAAATAAATTAAGGCTCAATAAATGCTTTGAATTTCACATAATTTTTTTTTACCTTTTTAGTCCTAGATTATTAAAGGTTGTTTTCTTACTATATTGGCTTTTTACATTTTCTTTTTTAAAGGAAAAAAACCTTCAGTTCTGGACAGTAAGGACAAGGGTGAACATTGTTGCTTCACTGGAGACAGAAAGGGGAAAACCCACCCTTTTATTTAGTTTTAAAACAGAACTTTTGTTCAGTTTGGTGAAATTTCTACCTGGAATGATGGTACAAAATGTTAATATGTAAAAGTTTCTGTAAAGTGTTTTAAACCCACTAATCTGGAATAATATGTTAATATGGGGAGGGGGTTCCCTCTCTTAAGGACCAAGAAAAATGTATCTGATTTTGAAAAAAAATAAGATAAAGTACGTGTGTTCTTGATGTGGTTTTGATGGTTGTAATTTTGTGACCTTGTATGCTGATAGGAACCCAAATCTGTAACTTGGTAGTAGCACTTGAAGCAATTTCTCCATTTATCACAGAAGAAAATGCACAAGGTAATAGTTGTTCTTTAGTCCTGACTGCAGGTGCACCAGGTGCCCTAAATTGGAAGCTATCCTTACATTAAATCCCAGCTCTTTGTTTTCAGAAGTCCTTTACCAGTATTCACATTCATTAAAGAAACTGGTCTAAAGAGAACAACTGACCAAGTGAAAAGTGAATTAGATTGTTAACCAGTGACAAAGATGCACTAAGAAATTAAGAGGCAGCATCATCAAATTCATTATAACTGGAGTGCTCTCTGTGCAGCCTGTCTATGTAAATGTGGATATGTGCACTTTACCAATTAAAAGCATCTCTGACCCTTTCTTGAAGTCTTTGTACAAGCTCAGCAGTTGGAGACCCTGAGTACCCTCACCTGTGATGGTTTTACTGTTCTGCCTTCCAGACTCTCCTTGTGCTGTCCAGTACCACAAAAAGCTACTCAACAACCTGCAGTGCTTGAAATTATTAAGATGGAAATTGTCCTGGGATCTTACCAGGCATCCTCTCAATCTTGTTTTCATCTCTAATTGACTAAAGTAATGCAATATATTTGAGTATTCTGTAAACCTACTTGGTAAGGACTGCAGTGAATGCTTATCTGATATAAAGGATGTTCTTCAGTCACAATGGTGCTATTTGCATTTATGCTTTAAAAAAAAAAGAAAAAAAGGATAAACCATGTTATTCTTTGCCTGCCTTGGTCCTTTGTTTCCGTGGTTTGAGAGCTGCTGATTTGGGCTGTGCAGGAAGGATGGGACAGTGGCAGGAACCAAGAAAGGAGAGGTGCCAGCCCAGGGGTGACATGGGGCAGTGGTGTTGGAGCAGCCCGTTGTTACTACAGGTTTTGAAAGCTGCCATTGCCTTGGAATGTTTCCCTGCAAACCAATTTGCTCATTTGTGAACACATAGGGATTTTCATTATTCAAAATTTAAAGCTTCTACCCCTGACAGAACTGGACATTAAATTAATGTAGAAACCTTTGCCTTAAACTGTGCTTCCAAGGCAGTGCAGCTGCCAGAGATGAGCCCTCATTTTCTTTTTAAAGATGCTCTCTGATTAAAATAAATACAGAAAAAAAATCTTGTGTACTAGCCAGTGCCCATAAATTTTAATGGGAGTCAGTTCCCCATAAATTCCAAGAAAGGAATCAGAATGGTAACTTCCCCCTAATCAAGATAAATGCCCTGAACAAATATTTTCATCCCAATCACTTGGAGTAAAAGCTTTACTTGGAACAGAGCAGGATTATATATTTTAATGCTCTGTTCTCCCTGCTAAGGAAGGAGGATGCCAGAACCCAGTTTGCCACTTCAGAAAACACGAGTTTTTTTTTTAATTTGTGCTACACCTAAATTAGGCCCTTCAGATGTGCTCCATCTTTTACTGAAACAAGGAAGTATGAGCAAAGTTAAAATTATCCTAAGGGAAGATTTTTCATATGGATCCAAAGGCTTTGGAAGGCTGAAAAGAACAAGCCTGGTTTCATGTAACCAGTGACTGATAAGTCAAATGGTCTCCAGGTAGGAATTCTGGTGTTTCCAGTTCACAGTGGATTTTGTGGTGAAGACAACACCACTCAGTGATACTCATGGTGATTGCAGACCTATTTTGGATCATGCTTTTGTTTAATTGCCAAATCTCTGAAAATTTTGCCTATTGTGAGGGAAAAGACAGGCAAAATATCAGTCACCCTGTAAATACTCTGTAACTCACCAGGGTACTGATAAAACATAGTGACAAGTGTATTTTCTGCCCATCATTCCCTTCTGGAAAAATCAGACATTTAGTGCAGGAATATAAAAGTTATCTCTTGCCTTGAGGGGAATGCCCCCCCAGCCATGAGCTGAGTTAGAAGGAAGAGCAGCTCTGGCCTGGTTGTAGAGAGAAAGGATGAAGAGCAGCTACTCAGAGTATCATTTAGAGGCAGGAAAAGGGGAGTTAATGATTTCTACTCACAGTTATCTCCTTGAGCACAGGCTGCCCAGTTCTGCAGTCACAGGCTGCAGCAGATAGTGGTGTTGGTTGGCCACAGTGACCAGCAGGAGAGGATGGCTGCCAAAGGATCAGGAATGCTCTTAATGCTGGATAAAAACACTGGGAAATTCAACTCAGCTTGGGTCTGCTCCCATAAAACGAATTAGGCACAAATAGCCCAATAAAAGCTTGAGAGCCTTAAATCAGATAAATCCAGTATTTAGGCTCTAGTCCTAACAACTGAAACGCTCCCTCCCTCCCCTGGAGCTCATTGCAAGGTTTGTTTGGGTCATAAATTGCTTCAGTGTCTGTGCTGGGTTTCTTTTCAGCAGTTTGCTGTGAGCTGTGGGGCTGTTCTACAACCCCACCTTGGCTGTCACCTTCCCAAAATAAGTTTTTGGGGTGGTCAGGACAGGAGTTGTCACAAGTCACCTCCATTAGTGAAACGTTCATGGTCACTCTTCAGTGTGGCCCAGCAGTGACTCCTATCTAGAATTAGACATAAAAAGGGTCTTTATTTAATGAGAGGCCTGAAGCATCCTGGTTCTGGGAATTACTCCCTCCAATTGCTTTCACAGGCAGGACAATGCAATAGCCCAATTAATTATTCAATATCCAGGGTGTGTAGGAAAATGCCTCTTAATATCAAAGGCAGACACTTCCATGCTTTTATCCCTCCTGTTTTACAACAAGGCTGACTTTAAGCTCTGTTCCACTTGATCAGCTCTTCAGTCAATCTCCAGGGTATATTTTTACAATGAAGTGATGCCTTCTGGTTTATGTAAGGCCAGGGGAACTGAGCAGCTCTTTGCTGTAGTGCTGTGCATCAGCCTGAACCAAAATCATATGTTCATAATTAAATGCCAGAGCTGGGATTTTTAGGGTGATCACAGTTGTTCAAAGCTTGGTCTGTGCTCTGAGATTCCCAGCCATGAGAACACCCAGCCATGCCCACAGAGAGCACTGTGTGAATGTGGTATTATGGAAAGGATGAACTGAATGGAAAGTCATGTCAGCAAGAGGACAACGCTGAGAATTCGAAGAAAACGTCTTTTGCACAAAGATGACATTTTATATGAACTCTAAATGCAAAATCTGGATAACAAAACTACCATGACTCACCAAATCTGCCTTGTCAAAGTCAAAGGAGCAGCACAGATGGTCCTGTTGCTGCAGTCCATGCCAGGGAACTGAAAGCAAACACAGATCAGGTCACACCAAACAGTCCTAATTTTTCTAAGGGAGCAGATTCAGAATATCTTTACATATACACACACATCCTCTGAAACCCAAAGTTCCCATGACCTCAACTGAGGAGAAGCTGGAACTAAAAGACCCTCTAGTGATAAGTCAGTCCTAAATTGATGATGTTTTGTAGTTCAGCTCCCAGGATAAGGTTTATTACCAACAGCATGAGAAGTCTTCACTGGGGACAAGGTCTTGTCAAAGAAATGCCAGTTGTTTACCCCTGGACTGCTATAGGGCAATAATATTAATTTCTTTTCCAGAGATGATATTTTTTTTCTTGAATAAATATGCTGTGCCAGATTAGAGACACACTATATTTTCCTTTAGCAATAGTTTTATTCATCAATAAATATCTACTGTCTGTGGCTGATGTTTCTGGAGAAGTTCAGTGATAATTAATAATTAGATATGTGTGTAAGTACTAAGCAATGCTGGCCAACACTAAAGAATCTCATGAATTATTGTTAGGAAATAAATGTACCCTCAACATCATAATGCCTGAGAGCACTGACAATGGTCATTAGTGTTCATTACTGCTCAGGGCTAAACGTTGTCCTCACTCCTCTGTCCTAAGCTTTATGGACACCTAATTAAATATTGAATTGTGGGAAAGACTCCTATTTGTTACTAAAGCAGCCAAAAGCTGCCTCTTTACAGAGCTTTATGGAGTTTTCTCAGAAGCTGTGGTTGGGATTTCAGACTGAAAAAGAGCTGGATTAGCTTGCAGGAACCCTGTACTACACTGCAACAGAGGAGACAGGATGTCAGACTGAACCTTGAAGTTTATGACAGGTTTGTAATGTCCCAAATGTTGTTTTGGAACAAACAAACTAAAAAAATTATTTGAAAATTTAATTATTTTTTAAATTACTTCATTATAAAATTTATAGGGTTGTTACTACCAAATACACCATTCAAATAATAAATCTTAATCCAAGTTCCCGTGGAGAGCTCAATATCTGAAAAGTACTGCACAAAACACACAAATCTTGTACCTTCTTCACAGGTAACACCTGATCTCATGTTGCACAGGGGCACAGGAGAAATGTGGTCAAAAATAGAGCAATTTTTAGCAGATTTGAGGTTGAACCTTAGAGATGAGATTCTCCAAGCAAGACAGGACTATCTGTCTGGGGAAAACCTGGGCCTAAATCCACCTAGAATACAGTACTGCTAAGCAGGAAGGCAGCAGAGGGCAGATGACATGCAAAGGCTAACAAAACCACATTTTTTTTTTATTTTTAATAGTAAAAACTGCATCCTGGAAAGAGAAAAAGCTCTTTGCTTGTGTTTTATTACCTGAAAATGCATTTTCTGATGGGTGGTGTCTGTCCAGCACAGGAACAGGAAACTCCATGTTATCATTTTTCTCATGTTTAATTCTCAGAAGAACCCTGGAAAAACAGTGGACCTCACATGGCTACAAGAAAGGAAGATCAAAAAGTTAAGAAAATATCCAGGCATTAAAATGCACAAGTCCTGACACGTCATCTCTGCTCCAGTTCCCATCTCCTGGCATATTTAGGGACCTTCTGGCTCGGATGTTTTCTTTGGGCCACTGTGTTTAACAGCCATCAGTGGACCACGAGCTCCTCAAATGGATCATTTTATACATTTGCCTCCCATGCCTTTTCCTGGGTAATGTGGTCAGTGATTCAGCTACACATTGTGAAAATCAGCCTCCTTGTGTGTGTTTTCTCCCTGCAGAGACAGCACATTCCAACCTGGTCACAGTTCCCAGTTTTTACCTCGTTGAGACACTGAAGTAAAGCTGAGATTGTACCAGAACATAGTTTTGCTGTAACAAGGCTGTTATTTTGGAAAATCAGGATTCTCTCAGGGTTGAATCTCCTGCTGGTGAGACTGGACAGCTGGTCTCAAGCTAGTCTGAATTACTGATAAGGAACAGAATCAGCTATAAATTTTGGAACTCAAACATTAAAATGTTTTAAAGAAGCCTGGCAGCAAGAACAAGAATTGCTCAGTGTTTCCATGGTTTGTCACCTGGACCAGGCTGGCCTATTTACAGCAATCCCAGTTTCTGCTGGGAACGTTCAGAACACACAAAATCCCAAGAGCCTGGAGGCACAGACAGCCAAAATACACCAGTGAGGGCAGAGCTTCAGAATTAAACACCCTGTTTATGTTTCCATTAGATAAACACATTATCCATCAGTTCCAGTTCTCTCTTTATCTAGAATTTTGTTTTTCAAATACAAAATGCAAGAAGAAAAATCAAATGCATCTGCCCTGTCTCAGCCTTTGTGAACTGCACAGGTCACTCAGCTGCCTGACCAGGTGTGTGACTGAAAATGAGGGACAGTATGTAAATAAATTATTTTGTGTCTAAATGACCCAAATTATCAGTGCTGAATTGCAGGCAGACCTGGATCTGTGTTAATTCCTTTATGTTCACTATCTCATACTTGCTCGAAGCTTTAGACATACAAAGGCAAAAGCCTTTGCAGCTTGAACTAAAGGGTTTATATTTTATATAATTTCTAGCACTGGGAAAGATTTTTTTATGTCCCTCTGATGCTGAATTAAAAATAGAATAATGTCACACTGCTTGGAACACAGAGTCTATATTTGTCTTTGAAGCATTTCCCCAGCACACCAAAAAATAACATTTATTACCTACCAGAGCAGAGTCACGTTCTCCAGAGATCCTGCTGCCCTGTCTTGGAGACCATCATTGGGGAAATCAAAGCCACCAGCAATGGATTGTCCAAAATACTGGAGTCCTGAAGAAATTCCAGAGGTTTTTACTCTCTAAAACAGGGGGGGAAACATCAACAAATAGAAGTCAGGATCTCTCCCCTGTCCTGGGGAAAATACACTTCTCTTCACGAGGCTGCAGTGGGGATGATTTTGTAACACCCCTGAGATGCAAAATACTGACACTTAACAGCCTGTAATGGAAAAGGCTGTTCTGGAGCAGCACCTGAAGCTCCTTTGCCTCACCAGACAGGTGAATAATTAGGAGTTAAGGAGGAGTGACACAAACCATCTGCAAATGTGTCACCCCAGTGAAATGTGCACGTCCTCCCTCCAGCCTCTTGCTACGAAAACATCAGCTCTTCCCTCTCAGGGTGCCCTGCAGCCAGTTCCCAACAATGCACCTACCTGGGCAACAGAGCCCTTGATCTTGTCTTTATTATCTTTATTAAAGGTGGAAGTGCTGCCAAAAGAGGAACGGTTTGAAAGCTGATCTTCAAGGGGAGCTCCAGCTGCAGTATCCTCATATCCATCCCCACTGGTGTCAACCCAAACCTTGCCAAGGGACAGGTCAGCTGCACATTGAAGTGGCCTTTCAAGGTGAAAGAATGAGTCTGAAAAACACTGAAGACAGAAATCCTTTTACAGCAAATGTAGCATAACTCTTACATTGAAAAAAAACCCATAAAATACAGAACAAATCTTAGTGCACAGTCTTTTCTTAAATCAACAGCAGCTGAGGGGATCCCCAGCCTGTTCCACACAGAAACCATCCCGTGTGCTCCCCCTGTGACAGGAATAAACCACGAGAGGGTGCACGTTATTAGAATCCTGACATGCCCAGGCTGGGTTTTTTCCAACCATCCTGTGCGTGCCCTGAGCAACTTCCAGCAGTGCACCAAGGAGGGTTCCCTCCTGGTCTGCTGCTAAAGTTCACTTCTCATTCAAAATGACACAATTAACTTCCATCCTGGGTGTTGTGTAACAGATCCTGCAGCCAGGGCCACACAACACTTGTTTTCTCCATGTCCTGGGAAGCAAAGTTTCAGCAGCTCCCCAGCAACACGTGTGTTGCACAGAACACTGGGCAGGGCAAGGGCTGCACTAAAAACTTGTCTGTGTCCAGGCAAAAACCAGGATTTTACCACCCTGGGATAGGAGTACACCTTAAGTCCTGAATGGTTTTATTTCTTGTACCGAATAGTTTTATTTTTTTATTTCTCTTTCATTCCCCCGTGCCTCAGGCAGGAGCGCTGGCTGCAGCCCGCAGTCCTCTACCATACAGGGAGAGCACGTCCAGCGGGAGCACAAAGCAGGAATGTTTTATTTGTCACTGCTTAGGCACGGCTGGAAAATCCCCAACATGGAGTGTTTACGCTACCAGTGTTTTCACCTCTGTCTCCAGGCGATGGACGTAAACCCTCCCTTCTTCCCCCCATCAAACGGAGCTCCAGCAAGGAGAGGATCTGTCACCCCATCATGGCTCACATCAAGTGGGCAGAGCTCAGACCCTAAATAAGATCCAACCTGTGCTCCAGAAAAAGACAAGCAGCCTTTTCCCTGGAATTCTCTATATATAGCTTTGTAGGATGGGTGTCCTTTGCAGCAGAGTAAGGCAATTTTTAGAACAAAACACCACATATCTACTTATATGTGGATCATTTCCTATTATTTATTTTATTACAGCCATCCTCAGGGACAGATCCTGTAACCAGTTTAGCAGCAACGAAATCGTTATTCAACAGTTTGACAGTGGAAAAAGAACAACAAAGCTGACGACCTCCCTCCCCATGAACCATGAGAACAGAACATAAATACACCACACCCCAGTCAGGGAAATTTTTTTCCCAGTCTTTTTCCAAGTTTCGTGATTCCTTCAGGTACCTGCTGCAGAGGCAACACACTGCAGGCTGGAAGGGAGGAGCAGGTTGGCACAGGGCAGTGTTACCTGGCTTACAACTCCTGCAGCCTCTCCTGGACTGTGGAGTGGTTCCACCAGCTCCTGCAGGACCCTGGAGACACACCAGGTGCCTGCCCAGCACCAGAGCAGCAGCTGCAGCCCACAGCTCACTGCAGGAGGCTTTTAGCAGAACTGGATCAGCGTTGTCCTTGCAGCCAAAGCTGCTGAGTGGTCACCAGGCCTCTCAGCAGCCACTGCTTCCCTCTCCTGACAAAGGACAGGGATCATTCCTGTCCTGGATGGACCAAGGTTTTATGCCAGAGGACTCCAAAAGAGCAAAATTATTTTATTTGCAACATGACTGAGTCCCTGACTTGTGTGTTGGGGATGTGAGCACCAGCAAAACCAAAGCTGTCAACTGGAAATGGATCTTCCTCCCAGTGAAATAGAGACGTGGCTCTCTTTACCCAGACAGTCTAAATTTTCCAAGAATTCTCAGAAAAGAGTGCAACAAATCACATGGACACTTTTCAGCTACCTCCAACTCTCATCCTCTAAGGACTCCCTGTGTTAGCATTTAACAACCATCCTCACAGTCCAGAAATGCTGTAACACTCCACATCTCACAAATCTGAACTGAAAAAATAAGATTATGTTAAAAGAGGAAGCAAAAAAACCACCCTTTGCACTCAGATTTAGTAACAGTTCTGTGCCAGCCACAGCCACATCTTTCTGAGCCTTTGCCTGCTCCTGCCAGGCTGAAGCAGATGTGAGGTTGCAAAGCAGAAGTTTTCTTTTAAAATGTCTTCCCCCCCAACTTTATTTTTGTTTTAGTCCCAGAGCAACAAATAATGAAATTTTTTAAAGCCCAAAAGTGAGAGGCAGCCCCAGGAAGAGTCCAGCTGCAAAATGCACCAGCTGCAGCCCTTCAGACCCTGTGCAGCTTGTGGGACTTACAGAAAGCATCTGTTCTTTGTCGGGGCCCTTGGGCTGTCACATTTCCAAGGCTCCCTTTGCGAGCTCCAGAGGCAATGGAAAGTATGTTCAGTTGCAAGTGGGGTCATGAAGAGACGAAGAGAGAGGGAATCAACTGAGGCACGGATACACCTCCCCTTGCTGGCTCCAGCTTCAGAGCAGGCTTTGGAAAAACAGGGGGGGGGAAAAATCCAACAGCAAAATAAAATGTGCAAAACATCCCAGGAACGGGAGAGTCTTGACTTCACCTCTGCCCCTGAGGAAAATGGCCCTGTGGGGGATTAGGAGCCACACAAACCAGACATGAAGTTTCTTTGAAGAAAATTGCACAGATAAGCTGTGAGGTCGATCACTGTGAGGTGGGAAGCACTTGGAGCCTCTGGAGAAGACACAGGGAGCAGTGGGCAGGCAAAGAGTGCCTGTGTGAAGTTTGGAAGCCAAAGGTCCACGTTCCTATCCCACCCTGCCAGGAGCCAAGCAACTCTGACCAAAGCACACAGGAGAGGGTTGGAGAATCCCTAACCCTGTGTGGAAAGCACTGGGAGCTGCTGGTGCCTTTCCTTCATGGCATGGCTGGGCCTGCAGAGTCTCTGTGGTTCATACACACAGAGCAGACAGAGGAGAGAAACTGCAGCTGTTCCTTCACTGGTAACTGTGAAAGGTTCCTGCTTTGCCAGAGCCCTGCAAACCCTCCCCATCTGCCCAGGAAGGGGTTCACATGCAGGTGGGTTCTCCTGTCACAAGAGGTAGAAGGGAGAGGACAGTTCATCTGTTCATGATTTCTTGTGTAAATGACCAAAGTGTTTCCTGACAAAATATTATGATCTATTAAGTGTGGATCCCAAAATCCTGCTGGGCCTTCAAAGCTATGACCCAGCTTGTAAGTCCTTCCTCTTGCCAGGAACTGCAGACATCCCACGAAACAAATCCCAGCCAGCCTTCCTGTCTGTAACGGGACCAGACCGGGAAGTGGTTCAGCTGGTGAAACCAAAGGGGAGCCTTGTGCACTGGGAGGCTACTGATGATAATCTCCCCAGTGCTGACTCATCCTCACTGCAGAGAGGTGGCAACTCCTCAAAAATCCCCTTTTTTCCATAGCACATCAAAGAGCTGGACAGCAGCCTCCCACCAACTGGACGTGTCTGTTTGCTGCACAGGCCTCTCCCTGCCCATCATCCTTCATCCATGAGCTCAGGAGGTCTGGGACTGGGGGGCTGTGGTGGGATTGGGGAGCACAGGGAATGCCAAGCCCTGTTTCACAGCAGAACATTCTTGATGCAGATCAGAAGACAAAGGTGCACTGCAAGCTTAAGGAAGGGATGTAAAGAGAAGGAGCTTGAGGGAATGGCTGAAGAGGCAGGTTATGTTGGAAGCAAGCTGTCACAGCCCACAGCTTTCCAAAACTACCAGGAAGCAAGATTTCTCTTGTGTTATTTATCAGGACTCCAGACAGGGATGGCAAATCTGATTCTGCATTCTCTGAGATTCTCAAAGTCTCCCTACCACAGCAAAGCACCAAGCACAGCAGTAGATTTATCATATGCCAGATGATCCTTTTGTGCAGTGTGAGCACCTTGCCAAATCTTGGGAACACTTAGGACAAAGCCATAGATGGGAAAAGCAGCTGAAGGCTTCACAAAGCAAGAAAACAACAGGAGCTGGAGAGAGAAAAGTCAGTTAGCACTCAGAGCCCCAATGGGGTGAAGCTGCAGGGGAATTGCCCAGCACAGGGGAAGAGCCCATTTAAATGCAGGAGGAAGTTTTAAAGCAATGCTTCTGCTGCCAGTCACATGCAGGCAGTGAGGATCAGGATGGTTGTCTCCAAAAGACAAGCCTCCAAGCCTCCTTCAGAGTAGAAATGAGGCAGAGATCTCGAGCTGCATAGTTTATCTCACTGAAGGGAAGGCCAACATCCAGAGTCTGCAGCTTTCCTGGGGGTATCACTATTCCCTGCATGGAAGGTTCATCCAGTGCAGCATCAGCTGCTCAATGCTCAGATGTGGCTGCACAAACTGACAGGAGGTCATGAAAAACAAGTTAACTGGCACAGCAGTGAGGGCAGCACAGCACTGGGGGAAATGTCATCAGGAATTAGAGAAGGCCTTACAGTCCACACTGATCAAACCTCCTGCTTTTTGAGAAAGACTGAAACACTAAAAATGTATCCAAGGATTAATATTTTCAATGAAGCAAACTTGCTATATTGACAGTTTACAGAAATATCACATTATTATATTTAAATATAGTGAAAAGTGAGACAGCTCATTTTTATCTCTTTTCCACAGAGTTTAGGCTGCCCCTCCTGCCTGGGGCAGGGTGCACGTCACAGAAAGCAATGAGGTCCTTGCAAACATTTGCAGCAAGACAGGATGCCAAGACTGCCAAGACTGACAGGAAGTGTCAACCACACAGTAAGTTTTGGCCCATCAGTCTCTCAGAGCCACAAGCAGGATTCTACTGCTTATTACAGAGACAGAGCAACCTGTGAGAGACAGATGTCTCCAAAATTCACCGTGTGAACTTACAGGTCTGGGAAATCCACATCAGCTTTTGTGCTTTTAAGCAAACGTGCACATTGTGCAAAGGATTTCATTCCAATACTGTAAAATGGGGATTCTGATGTGGACTGACCACGGAGCACTGCAGGTGCTGCCACAGACACTCAGAGCAGCTCTTGCTGACTGCACACCGAGTATTTGTCCGCTCGTGCCTCACACCAGCAGCACTTTGCACAGAAGCCAACTCCACCCTGAGCAACTTTTTATGACTCTACAACATTTTTTATTCCAAAGCACTTCAGTTCAGTCTCTTGTGGCAAAAGAATAAGTCGACCCACTCTTTTCTAGGTCACTGCATCAGCATTATTCCTGTACAGCTCAGGGAGCACTGCCTTCCCAGAGACCACTCCCCACTGCCCCAGGAGCTTGCTCTTGCTCTTGTATCTTTAGACATAGCAGTAAGAAAGTGTCAGGCAGAGAAAGTTGAGTAAAAATAGTTTCTTCAAAGGAAATTAATGATTAAAGTGCATAAAAGTATTTAAAGCCACAGGCTGAACCACAGTCCTCGACAAAATGCACTTTAATACTGATAATGCCTTCAATTCTTCCAGCTGCTATAGGAAGAACTACTCCTTTGGAGATGGGAGCAAGGTTGCAAGTCAGAAAACCTGTTAAAGATCTCTGGTTTGTCCCTGCAAAGGCATCATCTCTGTTGCTGATGGCTGGGGCTGCAGGAGTGACTGCTCCTCTGAGGCAGCTGATCTCGGAGGTTTCTGTGGTTCCCGTTTCCACGATCTTGTCTCTGCAGCAGGAGACACAGGAACGGCCCTTCATCACCAGGAAGCTGACAAAGGGACCCAGTTTAGAAGGGTGCAGGTTTAGGGAACACCCAGCACACACCACATAATGTTTTAAGCACTGCAACCTCCCCAGTCCTAGAAAACTGGCATCTAGGAAGAACCCGCACTGCAAGGGCAGGAGGTTGTGTTCAAATCCAAGCTCTGCCAGGCTGAACAAAATATTTCCAGAGAAAGTAACAGCTCTCTGTTCGACACAGAGTTTCATTCCCAGAATGATCTCAGGCAGAATTTGACCAAGTTGTCAGTGTTAATGCCCAGACTCATGCTCTAAAAGCCCTGTGATTTTAACACCTGCAGTATGAGCGGGCCTAAATTTTACCACTTCTGTAAAAAAAGCAGTGTTCCCTGCCCATTTCTACCAGAGGTAAGGAGGAATGGCATCTCCTTTATTCTCACTGTTTGTTCCCAAACCCTGAACAGATCCATACCTACACTAAATCTTTATTTTCTCAGCTCACAAGTGGTACTGTGAGAAAGCAATTTCATAAGCCAGTTGGCCAGTCTAAAAGTCTCCATTAACAAAGACATAATAACTTGCCAAGAGTAGTTGCTGAGCAGGAAGCTAAAAGGGTACTGAAGACCTTTCTTCACGGTTTAATTTACCTTCTGGATTTATTTCTGAATCACTGGTGTTTCCAGGGTCTTCCTTCAGAACTCCCACATCCTTTGCCCAATCTGTCCATTTAATTTCCTCTACTCTGGAGAGACAAAATGCAACAGACACTGATGCATGGAGCACAGTATTTCAACCCAGATCTCACAGTTCCAACCCAGCATCCCAACCCAGCTCATCCTGTCAATACAATCCTGATGGTTTGGCTGCAGCAGCAGCACCTTACAGAGCTCTTCTTTGAGTACATCTTCTGTAGCCTAAGCTCCATGAAGTAAAACATCTTCTCTCACTGTGTGTTGTAGGTTGTTTGTTTTAAAATGCTCCAGTTCCTCCAGTTCAGATTCTTAATACAAAGGTGACAATGCTGGCAGCTCATTTTAGCTCTCAAACTTCCAGGCTGGCAAGCACCAACCAATCTGCATGTACCCAGGAATATGTGGTTGAGTCACTGCTGAGTCAGTGCTGAAATTCTCTGTGGCTGTTCAGGGTTACCAGGATGTGAATCATGGGATCCCACTGCCTGCTAGGCTGGAGTGTAAAGGATATATCTGTCTTACCTGAAACACCACCTCTCATCTTTCTTATTGAGCCCCACTGACATGAAGCAGCCAGATCTCCTCTTCCCACCCTGGCGCCACAGCCAGGCCTTCTCTATTTCTAGAATAGCAATAGCCCTCTGGAAGAAGAAATCCATGTCAGAGAGAAATCAGGGCATTTACAGAGCCCAGCCCTTCTTTTCAATCAAATCTCCCCCCAGTCAGCAACTACTTTGACTTAGGGAATCACTTTGGAACCCAATCCCAAAGTGCTCCTTCACTTAGTGGTACCAGCCAGTTACTCTCTCGAGTTCCTTGTGCACGTGGATCATGCAAAGAGCAAGAGTTGTAAATACATCTAAAAATGATGTCAGGATGTACCACCAGAGGGACAAATTTATATAAAAGACTTATGTAAAGGTTTAGGACAAAAAGACAGGCACTGCCATCTCTGATTTTGTGGGACTCGAGCAGAACTTTGGGCCTCACCTGCAGCTTCCAGACGCTCTTGCTGTAACCAGAAATGTCTGTGACTGTCTCACTCATGAGGGCGATCAGCATGTTGAGCAGAAGGATGTAAGTGAGGATCACAAAGAGCAGCAGCAGGAGCATGACAAAATATCTGAATCTGGCATGTTCGTGGAAATCCAGGTCACCCATCCCAATGGTGATCTTGAAGAGCTCCAGGGAGACGCTGAGCAGCCCCCCGTACATGGCGTGGCTCCCAGTGCTCTCCAGGTGAGCCAGGGACTTGTTCTGGGAGACTGAGGGAGCGTCGCCCATCAGAGTGACCAGAGCTGTGAGAAAAACAGAATTCAGGTTCTCCTCAGAGAAACCCACTTCTTGCAGCCCAGCCCACACCGTAACGCTGAGCGAGGGCTCACCCGCAGCAAAGCCGAAGAGGAAGATCATGTAAACCAAGAGGAAACGCAGCAGATCCCTCATGATGGTCTGAAACACAAATCAGGAGGAAGTGCTGTTCTTTATCTTGCATGAAATCACCAGGATGATCCCCTCTTCTCACACATCATAACCAACCCCCAGGAACAATACTGAAAGCAAGTTGGAAAGTGCTTCTATCCAGTTTAAGAAACTACTCATAGATGTTAAAGTAATTCCTCAGGTAAGTAACATCATTGGTAGCTTAATCTGACAGTACTATATGGACTTATTTATTGTTATGTTTGTATGAAGAGGTTCTTTGAAACAAATCAATATCCTGTCAGTTCCCCAGTACGGCTGTTTCCAAATTGTTGCAACACACACATCCCTCTCTCTCCCATCTCCATTGGGTTTGCACAAGCAGGGATCAGGATTCTTCCCTGGCACCTCATTTCACCTCTGCTTTGCCTTTCTAGTCCTGTAGACCCGGGAAAACTTCCCAGGCCAAGTCTAACAGTTCCAGGGAACTCACACCAGTTTTCCCTGCTAGTTTTGAGTTGTTTTGTGACAAACAGGTGTCAGCTGCTGTCACCTGCCCTATTCAATGAGAGCAGACCAGTGGCTTCCTGCAGTTGTACTTGAAGACACTGATCTAATCTCCTGCAATATCTGTACTTCCACAGTCAGCACATCAACTCCATTTATGGTTTTCATGGTGCTGAGAGGAGGAAAGCCATCACAGGACTCCTGTTAGTTGCTCACACCCAAAAGCTTTTCATGCAGAGGTTTTCCCCCCAGGCACTGACCTTCTGTATCATGACACTGTAGATCCCAGTGCGCTGGAAGCCCCGGGTGTAATAGAGGGTGTTCACCCACCCCAAAAGCAGGGAGAACACCATCACTGCCACATAGTTTTCTGAGCTGGCACCATACAGGACTGCTGACAGCAGCAATGAGAACGCCTGGATGAAGCTGGAGAAAAGTAGAATGACACAGTGACTCACCTCAACAGATCTGATCTCTTCCCATTGCAGATCTGTTCTGTTTTTCAATGAAAAGCAAATTTTAGGAGGCTACAAGGAGCATACAAATGGCAGATAATCAGACAGAGTTTATATGGAATCAGAGAATGGTTTGGGTTGGAAGGGACTTTAGGGATCATCTAGTTCCAGACCTACAAATTGCTGCAGTTTTGTTATAAACTGCTTAATCTCCCAGTGTGGAAACTCTGAACTGCTTGATGTAACTCCCATAACTGATATTAAATGGGAAAAAAAAGGTAACACTTAGAACACAGGCCCACATCCAGGCACACACATATACTGATGCACATTCCTCCTCAGAAAACTTGGAAGTTCTTTTCCTTTCAACTAATTCTGAGCCACAGTGACAGTGTGATTGAGAACTTGAGCTCTTTTTCTGACAAATATATGTTCTCTAACTGTGGAATAATTGAGGCTCTGACCTTCACAGACAGACCCTGCCCAGGAAACTCCGTCACAACAAAGGGTTAGGACAAGAGGTAGAGGTGAGCAGGGATGGGAAGAGACAGTGGCAGAGGATCAATGTTTCCTGCTCACCACCTCTCTAGCAACGTTAGAGACACACAGCAGAGAACCAATTCCACCAAACTTTCACTGTGCAAAACCCCTGCAGGGACATACATCAGGATCTCGATGCAGCTGTCAGAGCACATGGTCTTCAGGGACTGGCGTCTCCTCCTCAAGTACAGACTCTGGGAGAGAAAAATCAATGGGAGCCATTCATCAAAACCAGAGCTGGTTAGAGAGTGATCACACACAGCCTATGGCTCGGGGGAAAGCTTTGCTCCGTGAGCTCCTCTTCATGCTTTCATCTCCAAGATCCCAAATTTCAGTTAGTCATACTTCGAAGACGAAAAAAGGCCTTACTTATAAAGGGCAAGGATAAACAAGGGCTGAATCATGGCTCAGCCCCATGTCCTTATTAATAGACTGCATTAAATGCCAGGGATGCATTTTAATACCATAAATCATAGAAGTCTCTCAGAATTATTTGCTGTTGTCAAACCGTGATTCCTCTTGCCCAGCAACCTGGCTTGTGCCACCCCTGTCACTGCTAGATCCCACTGACACTGCATGTCCCAGAGCAGAATTCCCTCCTGCCATCCACTCCTGCACATCCTGATGTGAGGAGAACTGAATCTGCTGCCTCCATGTCAGTGACAGTTCCTTTTTTTTTTTTTTGCTTTCTTACAATGAAACTAGACCAGAGACCCCCATACCTGAGCGAAGATCAGATAAATGCCTCCTAGCAAGATAATGATCAGTCCAGAGACCCACAGGAAGCCTCCAGCTGTGAATTCCACTGGAAATGAAGGCTGCAAGATAAAAACAAAACCACCCAAACTTGTGAATACAGGCAGAGGCAGTGATGATAACCACATACAACCTTTTAAACTCTGCTCCATCCATCCAGGCCTTTCCAGATAAAAGAGTGGACCCACCTTTACCCGTAAGGGCTGATAGTAGGCTATGGCTGTAAAGATGATCATGAACGACAAGTACGAGACAAAACTGAAGTAGAATCTCTTGGAAGCAAAAGTTTCCCATTTTTGCTGAAGCAGTTTGTTCAGTGGCTCCAAAACCACCATCTTGTACCGGTTCTATGGGGAAACAAAAAAGGACCTGTGTGTCAACAGCAGTGAAAACTCAGCAGAGGATTGTCTTTTTCAGTGTTGGAGCTCAGTGGCTCCAGTTGGGGAATCACTAAGGGTTTATTCAGTCAGGCCTTGCAGTATGAAGGAAATCAACCACCCCATAAGAAGATACTTGGCTTGGCTTCATCAAGGTATTTGGACATGCTCAGACTTAGGATAACCAAAGGACCAAAAATTTCTCTCAAATTATAGGCGATCAGAGGCAGGCCAAGCAGACTCTAAATAATGAAATCTGCAAACCTTCCCATCATGCATTTTTTTCTCAGAAAAATTATCATCAGGAACACCAAATTAACTCGAAGTGATTTGCACAATTACACAGCAACGCCGTCGAAGGACAGCGCGAAGGTGCTGCTGTGTGACCTCCAGTGAAGGCCTCACCGGGGTGTCGCTGCTGTAGGCCAGGATCTCCAGCACAGAGTTCTCCTCGAAGCTGTCCAAGGAGGACAGGTCATAGAGGGACACGTGGATGGGGCCGTAGGTCCACTCCGTGAACTTGCGGGACAGGTGCCGGTACACGGGGTCCTTGATCTCCCTCTGGATGATGTGCCTGAAGATCTGAAGAGAAACCAGGGGCACAGGAAAACATGCATGTGATGAAGGTGCAGAAGGACAGAGCTGTACCCAAACCACCTTCCCCCAGCACACCTGGATTTGTGCCCTACAAGCCTGGACACACCAGAGACCAGGATTTGGCTAAAAGCAGGCAACGAACTACATCTTGTATCTGCTCTCCCAGGAGTAGAACCAGATTCAGTCCAGACCAGCTGTCCTGGGTGGGACAGAGAGCAGCAGCCAGCTGAGGCTCTGCAGGACACTGGGTGACCTGGAGATGACCTCCTTGACCCCTGTCAGCAGCGTTACCACGGGTTGGGTGCAAGATGCTCCTCCCTCAAACCCCACTGCTGCACTGAGGGTGCACGTTACACTCTCCCTTGTTCCTCATCAACCCCGGGAATTCCCTCTGGTTGTCTTTACCTCCACTTTGCCTGTCTTGGCAGCGAGCTGCAGAGGATTTAACCCATCATAATTCACTATCTCCTCCAGTTTACACGTTGGGTCAAGCTTCACACCTGCCTTCAGGATCTCAACATACGTTGTGCTCACAAACTTGGTGTTCTCCTCAGTGTCATCTGCAATCATCACCAGGGCATGGAGGACTGTGTTGCCCTGTGTGTCCTGCTCCTGGAGCCTGGCTTTCTGGTGGGGATTGTTTAGGAGATAGTCCACCACATCAAGCTGGTTGGTACAAGCAGCCAAGGAGAGGGGAAGTTCACCTGAAGAGATCAGGACACAGTATTTGGAGACAAAGCAGAAAGGGGCAAAAAAGAATTAAATTTTGAAAAAAAGCAATTCTAGGAAAATATATTGAGCCTGGAGTTTTATCACTGGAACACAGAACAAGTTTTTTCTCAGTGTCTCTAGATTCAGAAAGTGTTTTGCAGTAAACAATTACTCTTTTTTTCTGGGGGCAGCTGAAACACTTTCCCAGACCTCTAATTTGGCTGACCTAACCAAGTATTGGTCTCTATCTGAAACCCCTCAGGTGGGATTAAATACATAAAACCAAAGATGATGGCAAATACTAACTGGACACCCCAGATGTGAAAGGATCCTGCCATTCAAGTAAGTCAAGGCCTTGATTAAAGGACACTGGAGATGGCAACTCATGCACAGATGGGCAAACCCAACTAGAATTAATTAGTGATGTCACATACAGTAGGGCAATAAGGAAAGGGAAGGAACATGTTGCACACTGACTCACCAAAATAAAAGTAAACTCCTTCTTTCTTCTTCCTGAAGAATTCCCCGTAGGCTCTGGCATGGACATCAGCTCCATTCTCTACCAGCAGCTTCACTAAAGGGAGGCTCCTTTTCTCTATGGCAATGTGCAGTGCTGTCTGGCCTGAGGAAACAGCAAAACCTGTCACCCTGTGCCCCTCTCAGAGGGGACAGGACAGGATTTGAGCAAAAGCTGCATGTTCTGCACAGCAACTGCAGCCTCAGAGCTGGGCAGGGCTGGGGGGCAGCTCAGGACTTCCAACAATAGTCCTTGGGATATTGCAGGCTCTGAGGCAGAAGACAAGCCTCAAAACTATCCAAAATTCAACACAAGACCAGGCAATTACCCCTGCCTGGCACTGAGATCCCAAGCAGCCATGAGAGGATTAAGACAACCATACTTGTACGTGACCATGCTGCACATTTGCTATTGAAAGCACAACCCAAACAGCAGAACTCATTTAAAAAAATGACATATTATTTCTTTCTCATTTTTAGAATTGCTTTTTATGCTTTCCCAAGCAAATCCTCTCATTTCTTGGGTTATTAAACATGTACCATTTCTGTTTTACAGACCAAGAACGAAGTTGGCAGCAGGGTATAATTCAAGGCCAAAAAGATGCAGCAGCAGAATCAGAAAACAAAAGGTGAGTAGGTTGTTGCTGTAACTGCACCATAACTCTGGATCTGCAGTGCTGAATAAGCTCCAGTTCCCCTCCTTTTCCTTGTGCCTGCACACCTCACCTGTCTAACGGGGAAGCTGCTCTGCCACAGCACCACAACAGAAACCTTACCTCTGTAGTAGCAGTCAGAGCACGACACATTGACAAGTGGCCTGGGATTCCGTGTCTTCTGGTCTATTTGCAGCAAGACTGCTATTGTGTCATTCTTTCCATTTTTTAAGTTCAGCAGGGCTTTCATTAAGCAGGTCTTCCCAGTCTTTGCATCTGGTAGAAAGAGAGTATTGAATGGGTTGTGTGTGTACTTTGCACACAGCTGTATTACTTGATTCAGAACTTAAATTGCTCTGTAGGATCAAAGATAATCATTATTAAAGGTTTTTATCAGTATTTTTAGTCTGCACTAGAGGCAAAAACCTTAGTATATATTTAATTAATGGCCTTCTCCATCCTCAGGCGAACATTAGAAAACAAAAGAAAGGACAGAGGGCTGGACAAAGCAAATAACCATGAGCAGATTCCCCTGCTAAGCCTGTTCATGGAATACTGAGCAGGAATCTACCTGTGTATTCCGAATCCGTGAGAAACTTGGAGGTTCTCCTTAAGTACTCGAACAAACCATCCAGTGCCTCGGGGGTGCCCCTGGTGACTGCGCTGAACAGACGGTCCCTGTCAAAGCGATTTGGGTCCTTTGGGCTGTAGGAAAAGTGCCAAGTGTTAGGAAGTTCTGGAGAGCAGAGACAGGGGCGTGCCCTGAGTCCTAGTGGGACAGTGTAGGAAAGGAGGGAGGGAGGAAAGTTTGTCAGGAAAAAAAAAAAAAAAAAGTATTTTATTTTTGAGTCGAGGGAAAAACAGAGACTGTTATTTCCCAGAATTCTCTTAAGTGGCTGCTCTTTCCATCAGTTGGAGCTCTTCCCAGATCCAGTCTGATGTGCAACCCTGGCACGCATCCAGAGCACAAAGAGAAGCCCAAGATAGCTGCAGGACCAGAGTCAGGCCCATCACATGGTGGAAGCACTCTGTGAGCTGGTTTACATCCCTCCCTGGCAAGAACAGCTCAGCTGGACAGAGCTCCATGAGAAGCTGCTCTGACACCCAACGTGGCTTATTTGTGTTAGCTCAGATCTACCCAAAATACATCTCAACACATGGGCACCTTCCAGGGGCAGCAGCAGAGGCCTAATAGACCCCCTTTCTGCTTTTAATGCCCTCCTACCAGATGCCTGCAATATTCCTACGTTGCCACTTTTAGTTTAGACTTGGTAAAGTCTATAGGCCCCTATACAGGGCAGGGATCAGTAGAGATCACCCGGATCACCCCCTTCAAACACCCAGCAGTTACTCACTTGCTGACGAGTCCTGGCCGATAATTCAGATTAACCTTGATTTTAGGAGCAAAATCACTGCTCTCCTTCTGGTAAGGTGTCTCCAAGGGTCGTGGCTCTCCTTTCTTTCCAGGTCCGGATCTTTCTTCCTTTTTACTGGGTGCAGGTTTATCTTCCTGGACACTGTCATCGGTTTCTAGCAATCCTATGAACCTGTTCCTCTGCCCCGGGCCCGGCTGCCCGTTGGTGAAGTTATCCATTTCTAGGAGAGATGGTCTTGCAGGTCAACAAAGATGTTCCCTGCTGGGGGACTAAACCTGTGAGGGATGGGAAGAATCATTAACAGTTTGATCACAAACCCAGAATGTGTTCAGTGTGACACAGAGGAAAGCAAGTTCCCAGGTCCAGTGTTCTACAGTTGACTGTGGGTCCCTTGAGAGGGAGATTCAGTAAAACTCTGCACAGTAGCAGTATTTGAATAAAGGATCAGGGTCTTGAACAGAGTTCCACTGGAGAAGTTCAAAAGCAGCTCACGAAATACAGGCTGCAAACTTGTCTGCAGCACATCTGAACCCCCTTGGTGAGATGACCTCACCTGTTGGCAGCAGCACAGGTCCCTTACATAAAAGGCAAGGAAAGTGGCTCTTTAGGAGACTGTGATCATTGTTCTTGTCTCAGTGCAACCAACACAGGCTGGTCACCAAGTGGCCAAAATGATAAGATTCACTGTAGGCCTTCTTTGGAACAGTGATAAGTTTGTTCATGTTCCCCATTGAGGAGCATTGCACCATTTATACAGGGAAAACACGTGCACAAATTGTATTTCCCTCATGCATCCTGACATTTCATCCTGGGGCAAAATGAGTGGGGTCTCCCCCAATATTTGGAGCTGTTGGCTCTCCACGAGAGCACAGGCTCTGAACTCCCAGCTCCACGGCACAGGCAAACACACTGCCCAGCTGCCCTGGGGACACTCCCAGCCCTGGGAGCCTGCACAGAGCACAGCTTGACCCAAACCTGCTGCACAGAGAGGACCAGTCTTAGCAGAGCACCCAGCCAGCCCCCTTCTCTCATCTAATACATCCTGAACTCCTTTCTGACTCTTTTAAGACATCTCTTCGCATATATCTGGATATATCTCAGACCACACCCAACACACACTGTCTGAAGTCAATGTGACTGCAGATTCACACAGTTTGCAATTAAACATCCACAATGACCAACCTGCAGCGGAGCTTTTGTTAATAACTCTGTCTCCTTCCCATGCACTCCCTCCAAATGGTTAACAGGTTTTCTCTGAGGAGAAATCTCCCTTGCTGGGACTACAGCCAGACTCCATAGCCTGTATCAGCAAAGAGGTAAATGGACACAGCATAAGCAATTTGGCTTAGATCAGGGTGTGCAAAAACACAGTTCTTAGGCAGAAAACAGCCACAAAGCATCTTTATGCGGCTCACAGCAAGAAATCCAAGGGCTGATTTCAAGACAAACGTTTATGATAATTCAGACATTCAGTTTAGTCTGCGCTCTAATGACAAACATTCCTCTCCACTCACAGGCAAACACCCCATAATGCTGTTGCAGACTCACTTCCTTCCCCAGAACACTTACAGGTACGTTTGCTGATCCTTCAGAGGGCTATTTGTACTTCCATAATAGTTTACTTGTGCTTTTCTGTCTTCCTTTCCCCCACATCATTTCTCAGCTGCAGTTTCCATCTCTCTGCAGCGCTCGGGAGAGTTATTTATTGTCAGTCTTGCACAGGCAGACCAGCTGGTTTAAAAGCAAGAGCAAAATGGTCCCGTAAAAAGGACCCTACACCCACTTGGTGTGTCCCTGGGAAACACAGGGAGCACTCTCTGCTTGCCAGCTCAGCTTCCACTTCTCCACTCAAGAACTGAGTTATTTCTTTCTGAGACCCCACCAAGCCGTTTTGAGAAGTGCAGCACCAAGCCCTACTGTCAGAACAGGAAGAGCACAGCACTTACCCCAAGTTGTTGCAAGCTCCACCCAAGAACAGATCTGAAAAGGAGTCCTAACAGAGCCTTCAGAGGGTAAATGATCTCTCAGTAGAAACCAAGTCCAATACCAACAGGTGTTAATAAGCATGAAAGCAGACCCAAAATTATTCACATCCATGGGTGAGAGTCCTCCTCTTCTGCAGAGAAGACCATGTTCATATTAGCAGTCTGCTAATGGCACAGCATTGAACTCCTGGCTGGTGATGGTCCATGAGAGAATCCAAGGAATAGTCACAGATTCCTGTTATTTACTCAACTGTATGGCTTTTTGCAAAGTGAAGGAGGGCTTGCACAGGAAATGACTAGAGAGATTTCTCAGTAAAAGAGAGAGCCAATGAGTGCAGTGCTCTTATATGGGAAAGCTGCCTGGCTATTGCAAATTCAGAATGCTTAACCCCTGCCTGCACATATAGAGCCAATGCCTCGTGGCTCCCAACCACAGCCCTCTCACAGCTCAGGGGACGAGGTGGATTTGCCCCTGGCAGTGCCAGAGCCTATGGTGCAGTTGTGAGGTTTGCCACAGGCTCCCTCAGTCAGCCCCAGGACAAGCAAAAGTGCCTGGAAACAGCTGAGTTCAACTGTTCCCGTGGGGAGCCAGATCTCCTCACACAACTTCACACCCCCCAGTTACGAGGCAGCATAAACTGGGTAAATGTGACCCTACAAAATCAGCTGCTCATCACAAGCACAGGGAACTGCACAAAGCAGCCCCAGTTCAGAAACACTCAGGCCACTGGCTACTTAATTTGCCTCTTGTGCCCATTTCTTAATGGGCTGGTTCTCCAAAGGTGTGCAAATCTTGGAGAGGCTTCTCCTGGGAGCACGGACTGGCCACCCCTACAACTGACTGTTCTTGGGACCATGCACACACCCCAATACTGCTTCACTTACCACTCACAAAACAGGACCCCTGAGAGACAGAGGACATCAACCCACACCACGTGTTTTAGTTCTTTCTCTCCCTCTCTGAAAAGCCCCGAGGAGGCAGCAAGATCATTTCCCACAGCACCAGCACAGGATGGCATCCAGCACCCACTGCCTCAACAGCCTTCCCCAGAGGATGCTGCTGCAAGGATTCTCACCTGTACTCTTGATGCTTTACAAAGACATTTATGTGGTCTAGAGCCCAGCTAGAGAATCTCATTAACCAACAAAATGGTAAAAAGCTCTTCTAATCCACACCTTGACAGCAGGGGCACGTTCCAGGGTAAATCCCAAGAGTTTAGTTAACCACTGGTCCTAAAACATCGAGAAGGGGTGTCAGATCATGACACACAACTCTGGCTGGGGCTTTCTTCTTCCAGACCCACCACGAGCCAAATGAGAGCCTAAAGCAACCCCCATCCCACAGGACTGCAGGATGCTGTGACGCTTCCTGGAATGTGGTCGTCACCCACAGAAACATTCCCAGATGGCTTCAACTTTGAGTCAGATGCAGGCTGTGAGATGACCTTCCTATAAATACATCCATTAAATGCCAGGGTGCCTTTTCCTCCTCATGGTCTTGCATGAGATTACAAGCTTATTTCTCAGATTCCTCTGTTTCAAAATGAAGCTGATCCAGGAACAACACAAAGCTGCTTCTTCTTTCCATGATGATTTCTTCATGATTCATTAAGACCCACAGAACAGCCTACAAAGAACAAACAGATAAATCCAAGACAAGATCTCGTCTCTCTTACCCCTTTCTCATTCCAGACTTGCACTGATTTAGCTCAGTTTGCTTTAGTTGTGTTACATCTAATTTACTGTGATATCAACAGAGATTCAGGCCCGGGAGTTTAGCTCAGACTAATGGGTTTAAATCCTCCTGGGCTTGTCCCCCAGCTTTCATTGGAGGCATCCCACCGTTGCAGCCAAGGAATGAAATCAGCCCACAAAAGTGCATCACAGCAGAGCTCTCTCTGCACATCTGGTTTTAATAACTCACACGGAGGGAGGAGAATGTGCAATTTGCTGGGAAAGGAATTGCTGCCAGCTGAGAGGTCACCACAGCCAGACAGATCCATGGAGCTGCTGGGGAGCTCAGGAACACTGGGATGGGCACACACATACACACACACACACACACAAACACTGGGATGGGCACACACACACACACACAAACACCTGGGATAGGCACACACATACACACACAAACACCTGGGATGGGCACACAAACACACACACACACAGACACCTGGGATGTGCACACACATGTGCTCAGAGGAAACACTTGCACTTCCATGTGAGAGAAGGGGGAAGCAAAGCAGAAAGAAATCACAAAATCTGCCCAAATGTGTCCTTGGCAGTGACAGCATCCGAGGTCGGTGATGGGGTTGTGTCACTGCTGAGTTGGTGATGATGCTCAACAAGCATCTGGCCACCAAAATCCAAAATCCTGAGAGCTGTGAGGACTCAGGAGGAAGCCATACAGAGCAGCATGCAGGGAGAATAAAAGCAGCAATTTAATTTCACCTGTCTGCCAGTGTGAATTTTACTAAAGCAGCATGTGATCCTCTTGCTTTTTGAGGCTTTTATGTGTGGGAACAAGAAGGAATTCCACAGTTGGTCAGTACTTATTTTACTGAGGAAAATGTGTCTGTTGGTGCTGAGTTTCTCCTGACAAGAGAGACATGTTCTGTAAAAGCCTTCAATCTGGGAAGAGAGAAGTCAAACTCCTAAGTGAAATCTTAAGTAAATACATTATTTTTCATTTAATAATATTATCAATCATATTCATAATTATGGTTATAGATTATATATGAGGAAGCACAGTAATTCATGGCAGGAAAAGTGATGACTGGAACCTGCTTAAACAGAAGGCAAAAGGAAGCACGAGGAACATGGTGTTCCACAGAAACAAGCACATTTTCTAAAATACAAATTCTCTGTTCACCTGTTCCCATTTTGACCAAATACTGGAAAATATAACAGTCTTATGATCAATATCGTGTTTTCTGCATACTGTAAATAGAAGTTCAAAGTCACTTACATGTGTGTGTAATTTAGTTACAGGATTGATCTGTGGCCACTCTCAGGTGTAGCAGCTCAAAATCATCCTCACGGGGGAGGGAAGCCTGCGATAACAACATGCAAGAGTGGAGCATTAAAATTCTCTTAAAAACAACAGGTAAGGCAGCAAAAGCCAAGACAAAAGAAACAATAGTTTCTTTTAAAGGTGTACTTTCACACTTGAGAAAATGTCAAGTGTTTTTGCAAGGCCTGACCATTTTTTCCATGCAACTGTTACGTAAAACCCACACTGAAGTGATGAATTTTAAGCGGCTTAATTTGTTAGCTACCCAGATGGAATCCTGTACCTCTAGGGACACCAGCCAGTGCCCAATCTAAAATACAAATATTCTTAAACATAATTCCTTGTCAGGACTTGCCTGATAGCCCAGGGGACTCAATTCATCTACGTGACAGTATTTCTGTAACTGCCAGTCCCACGTCATAACATCTAACATCTCAAAGGAACATTCCAGCTCTCTTATTCCTAAAATGGAAGTATCTTTCTACTTGATGTATCCCTTTCTGTAGGATCACAGCCTGTAGGAACGCTCTGCTGACAATCAAACAGCAGCAAAATAGGAAATCTAGCGGTGATGTCGGAAAATAACCCGTTTGTGGAGGAACAGTGACATCCGGTGGCCACTGAGTAAACCTGAATTCCTGCTGCTTTCGAAACAGCCTCCATGGGAAACAGCCAAAAACAGTCAAAAAAAAAAAAAAAAGGAGAAACAGTTGCAGGCACACACTTGTGAGAATTAGTGCCATTCACTTACTCTTTGTATCAAAATAGTTAAGAGAAACTCATCTAATTTAAAAACATTCCAAACAAGGCTGGTTTGGATGATGCAGCAATATTTCACACTCATAAAACCAGGCAGCCAAGGATCTTTGAACAGAGCCTTTGGAATTGTGGGACATGGCTGCAGAAATACTGAGGAATTTATTCCCAATGCTTATCTGCCTTAACCCTCACTTGCCCTATATGGGGCAGTTGCTAACAGAGTAAAACACCAAATGTATCCAAACCCCCACATAATGGGTTATCTGTCTTTTTATGGATATAGGTAATTGTTTTAAAGCACAGAAGACAAAACCCTTGAAGTCTTGGCTGGAGGGGTTTGTTGTTGTTTGGTTTTTTGTTTGTATTCTTTTGTTTGTTTGGTTTGGGGATTTTTTGAGGCTAGAAATTAACTGGAGCAATAAGAAAAAAACCAAAATGCCAGTCATAAAGCTCAGCTTGCAGCAGGATTAAAAGATAATATTAGAATCTGTTGTCAGTCTGTGGGAGCATTAGGATCGTTCTCATACCTGGATGCATTCCTGTGTCACCTGCTCCAGGGGACCCTGCCTTGGTAGGGGGTTGGACTGGGTGATCTCCAGAGGTTCCACCCAACCCTAACATTTCTGTGATACAGTCTGGCTAAAACCTATTAAATTCTTATTTTAGTTATGAATAGTTGTCTCTAAGTAGATTTCTGAGGTACCACCACATTGTAAGAATAAAAAAAAGTACCTTAACATCAATCATTCATATTGCCTGATCTCTTATTTCACCTTTCTGTTAATAACTTCAGTGTAATTAATGCATGTTATGCAAATTCATATTCACATTTCCTTATATCTTCTATAAAACTCCCTAAGTCACATAAAATTTTAGATAAAATGCAATTTTTTTTTATTAACAAAAGTCCCTGCAGTCATCTCTTCACCCCCATGACTGTTATCCCTCCGTCAGCTGAGGATCAGCAGCCTCAGTAACACAGCTCCTGCAAGGACACAGAATTCCAGCACTCGTGTCCCCATGTCCTCAGTGATCCATTCCCTAAGTCCAGCTCCACACCTCACCCAGGTACTGCTGCAACACGACAGCACCTGGGGACTTCACTCCTTGTACCCTGGCTCTAAGGATGAGCTGCTCTGTGCCGTTCCTAGTGAGCCAAAAGCAGAGCTCAGGAACTCCCAGCACAAACCTCACCTGAGGAAAGAAATCTTCCTGCAGGGCTGGGGAGACCTGAGCAGTGTCTGCAGCAGTTACCAGGCAGCACAGCTTCCCTATCAGATGGACTTGAGAATGACCTTTATGAGCCAGAGAACATAAAGCAACCAGTTCTACCATGGAAGCAAATCAGCAGCAGGAAAAGATAAGGAATGTAAATTTACTGAGTGCTGAATCTCCTCTGGACTATGACCTGCTCAGAGACTGTGTAACAGAGGACAGGGCTATGGACACCCTGTTGGAGTGAGTCAGGGAATGGCTGGTGCTGGAGGTCACCTTGTCCAGCCCCCTTCTCAACCAGGGCCACCCTAAATTGGTTGCCCAGAATTACTTCCATGGGTTTTGCCCAGGACTTTTTAGTATCTCACAGGAAGGTGCCTGTGGGCAACCAGCCCAGGTGGCTCAACTGCACAAAGCATAAAATCAAAGGCAAAATTGCAGGAAAACTTAAACTAAGGAAGGTATCTCCTGTGGTAGAGATGAGTGCTGACAGAACTTCATAATTCTGCTAGCACAGCTCTGTGCAGCACACAGGGAAGCAAACCCCGCTCCTAAAAACCCAAATATCCTATCAGGGCTATAACCACATCAAATTTAGCTACCATGTGCAGTT